TAGTTTTTTTTTTCATTAGTTTCTGAATTTATTGAAATATGACAAAGAAAAGAGCTAAATTTTTAACTGTTGATTAAATTTGCTAATTTAATAGTTTCCTATTAGAATTAAAATGTGTATAAATTTTTCGTTATGAAAAATTGTGCAAATTAGATGTAAAACTGGTATCCAGCTGAGTTTGCACATCAAAGAAGCTGATTATAATAAAGGTTATTGGAGGTAAGCTCCTCTATTATGAAAGATCGAAAGTGATTGGGGTGAGAGAGAATTAGTCTTGGTCTGCTTAAATGCTCCTTTTATTGTGCTCTTTTCATTTTCATCTCCTGTAATGACATATCCATTAAACACATGACACATTTCCATTGCTTATTAACGCATCAATCAAATCTTGCTACCAGTACCGCCATAAATTGTTTATAAATGAGATTTCGGGGATCTCACTTTAATTATTACATTGAAATTTACATTTGTCAAACTTTCTCGAAACTATACAATTGCTTCACTTCATGCAACTTCAGGAAAGTTACAAATGGAAAGATTTTCTATTATTTCGCTCTCTCTAATATTTATTACGCTGACATTTTAGATTTTTTAAATTGCATTATCAAATCAATTGATCACAGATCTACGATAAAAAGTCATTATGTCCTTACAATAAATGTTACAAAAACGAATGATTTCCACAAGGTCTATATAGCTCAAATAATAACAGATTTTCATGGAATATCAAATCAAATTTTAAAAGGTTTACAGAGCTCGAAATTAATTGACAGATTAGCTTTCAAATATTTGAATCTCAAAGATTACATTCGGCATGATAACAATTTCGCAGCATAATAGCGAGTCACTACTGTAGTTTGTGATTAAATTCGGATTCTGATTTAATGATTTAAAATTTTTGCAACCTAAAATTGTAGGAAGTGGTCAAATACAATTGTGGCAATTCCTCCTTGAATTACTTGCTGATACACATAGCAATGCGCACTGTATTACCTGGGAGGGACAAAATGGTGAATTCAAATTATTAAACCCAGACGAAGTGGCTCGAAAATGGGGTGAAAGAAAAAGGTTTGTTATAGAAAATACAAATTCCAATTTTCTTCTACACATTTATATTTGAAGTGAAGCTAACTGTTTGTTTTTCCTTTTTTTTAATTCAAAATTCGGAAATTTCAAGGATTTAAAAACACCAAGATTCCCTTGAATCTGGAATATTCGTTTTTTTCCAGTAAGCCAAATATGAACTACGATAAGCTTAGCCGTGCTCTGCGATATTACTACGATAAAAACATCATGACAAAGGTTACTACGTCAATTTTATTGCATCACTTTTAAAAATTTTTTGAATTTTATAAAGTACCCGATTACTTTTAAAATATTTATTATGCTTTTCTCAGTATTACTAGTCTATGTGAAATATTTTTCTTTTCTACCGAAAGATTTTATTTGCCGAAAAAGCAAATAACCAGCAAAAACAATCAATTTGGTTTTCTTCCCAGTCTGTTTTATTTTCATCGTTATTGAAAGGCTAATGTAAGTTAAACATAGCATTTCAAGTCTTTTTGCCTTATTCTAATTTAATAATTGCGGACCACAGTTCTATTAGGAGCAGCCAAATATGTTTCTCGTCTTTGAAATGAAAAAATATACTAAACAAGTTCCATATTTTATTGTTTAATTGTTTTCAGGTTCACGGAAAACGTTATGCTTATCGATTTGATTTCAATCACTTGGCACAATCTTGTCAAAGTAATTGTGATGGTGAACTAATGCCAACAGTTCCAACATCGGCACAACAATATCGACGTATAGCATTTTTTTGTTCTTAAATACCCAAATAATCAAGTCCTTTCTTCGAATATTCCTCGTAACTCCAGCAGTATCCAAGTCGTGGAGTTCGAACACATGAGATATTTCTGTTCGGAAATTCCAGAAATCATTAATTACAATACTGAAAACATTTGCTAAGTTCTCTCAGTAACTTGGTATAACAATATCTTGGAAATCCTAAGGGTCATTGTCGAGGGCGGTTTTTATATTATATTATATGACCAAATCTGTTCGTTAGAAGATCATAAAAGTTAGGAGATTGCACCAAGTTTCAAAAAATTGTGATTTCCAAAATTTTTAAGTAGATCGGCAGCCCAAAATTTTTTGTAACTTTCTGAATACTTTACTCCTTACTTTAAATACTTAATATTAAGGTTTAGGTTAATTCGTTGTAAGCTGTCATTTAAAAAGCAGTATTCGATTTTTGAGTTCAATTTTTTTTCCTTCCCAACTTCAATGTTTCTGGACTTTTTAAGTAACTGATTAGATCCGGTTTCAGCTTCACTAACAAACTGTCATCCGCCTCAGTTTCTGTTTCAACATTATCATCACACGATGCCAAAAATGCGTTCGGCTGGTGTATCGTATGCGCCTTTCATTCACCCGGTAACTTCAGATAAGCGGCCCTCACATTTAGTGCGGCCATATTGGCCTGGAACGATTTCGACTAGCAGCTGTGGGTATGCATCAACCGGAGCTTATTGTGGAACGCAGCCAAAGTCTTTTAGCCATTTCCTGCAATAATGTATGAATATAGCTTGAATTGAGTAGAAATTTTGTGCATCTAAATACCAAATTGTTTATCACTCTTTTGCAAATCACTTCACAAGGTAAATACATTATCATATTAAACTGAGTTTCAAAGAGTAAAACTTATCAACGCATATCCCAATATTGGAATAAAGTGCAAGTTCTTTGAGAAATCTAGCTTAAATTACTTAAACTTGGAGAATTCACTTGGTTAGAAATGGGACTAAAAATAATTTCCACTATAGTCTCCAACAGGATTGTATGACATCAACAAATATTGGGTCAAAAAATTGCTCAAACTTTTTCGATTAGATATTTATATCTGTATGACTCTCAACACCTCCTGTATCGTCAAACACATACAGCGAAGTTGTTGATGATAAGACAATGGAATGTACTGAGCCAAACGGTTGGTTGGTGATCTACAACGATCACGACAAGTCTTCTCACCGATCAATCATGAGGATCGCTTCATTCCTCAGCAAGAATTTAGAAAACAAGCAGCTGACATTGTTTTCACTAATTTCCCCCTCCTCCCTCACCCTCCCATATTATGGGCGATGTAAATAAACAACAGACAGACAGACTGACGCAAAGACAGCAAACATTATAGGTTGCTATACCTAAACACATGTTACCTTCCGCTGTATATACACACATATATGTGAGCGGATGATCTTTGCACTGTAGGAATGCACAAAAAGTCAAATTTCATTTTGTGCCTTGTACGGAAGCTTTGAATGGATCCATCAAAGGAAGGCAATAATTGAGATAGAAATAAACAAGAGAATTTGTAATCACTTGCAGTTGTTATATGACTGCTATCACTGGCTGCTAAACACTGAACTTTGATCAAATTTTTTGCAAGCATAGGCAGCGAGTGCGTAATTTCTAAATTTTGCAAACAGTGGACAGTGATGATTCGAACTGAGGAACAATCTCTTCAAATTTCTTCTCCATGTTTGTTCATTCATCTGTTTGCCTCACTACTTTTATTCACCTAAGCGAAAGTTGCAGTAATTGCAAAATAATTGATGGAATAAATTCAAAAAGATGAGCTATGAAACGATGATGAAGTAACAGTTTTCACTAATATTGGAAATCCTCGGGAAAGCTTGCAGTCTCGAAGGATTTAGTAATCCTATTAAACATGCTCATAAATTATCTTTAAAACATGACTTAAATTATAGAAACAGTCTGAAAAGGTCCTGAAATTTCCGAGATAACATCCCGTGAAATTAGCAAAAACTAAACATAGTCTAAGTGTGTGAGATGAGTGCAAAGAAATGCTTTTTTCCTTTGGGTAACCTGGTTATCCATTGTTTGAACCTGAAGAAGTTACACATGTGAATTTCATCGGCATCAATACACTGTAACTTATAAGATGGCTTAACTTAAGCACACTTTATATACCCTTTAATTCTAGTAAGGTAAAAGAGGTCACTCGTGCAGTAGTTGGTCATTTTTATTCATTCAAAAACTAACTGTTGCATAGTGAAAATTCAGCAGAAAAAAGTCATACTGCGTGAAATTTTAACAGCTTAAACGTAATCATTCTCGCCTGGACCGAAAACAGAAAATTGTGGATTAAACACTGCAAAACCACAAATGCAAAATGTACGCAAGTGTGAAAATTTACTTTTTATCTGTGTGTGTGTACGTATTGTACGTTTGTATATGTGTTTGCATCCACACATGTTTTGGTGCACCCCTCTGTCTGAACGTTACACATGTCTGTTAGTAACTCATTAAGATATATACATGTGTGTGTATGTTTGAATGTGTATGGGTTCATGCGCATATATGTGTGTATGTATATGTTGTGTATGTGTGTGTGTATATGGATGTGCGTGTATGTGTATGTATGTATGTATGTGTGTATGTGTATGTATATATGTGTGTATGTGTATGTACGTATGTATGTGTGTGTATGTGTGTGTATATGTGTGTATGTGTGTATGCATGAACATTCGTACGTTTTTGAACAGAAAACGTTCATTATTATTGGATTTGTGGTATGCGTGAGAAGGGTGAAGGAAGGGAAGGAAGGAGAGAAGAAAATGGTTCCCAGAAGGATCGTTTATGCTTGCAGACGTGATTTATACACAACAGTTAGATTGTTGTATGTGTATGTGTGTGTGTGTATGTGTGTGTGTATGTGTG